CAGATTCTCTCTCTAGGCTCCATAGAATTTGTAAATGAAATACAGAAAGAAAAAACAGTGAGCCAAATTTTATAGGAGTATACCAAATGCAGGGCATAATGTTAAACATACATTAATAGTGAAAAGTTAAAGAAAAGGTAACATTTAAAAAAAGGTACAAATCTCTTATAGTTTTGCTTTCTATAGCCCAAATTCTGACCTTGATTACATACTCAGCTCTCATAGGGACATTTTTAAACAGCATTATACATACATGTTTGGCCAACTGACTATACATACATAACTCACATGCTTTATATTGTAGCTCCCAAAGAAAGGGACTGAAGCAGTGGGAAGAGACATGGATTTTAGTTGGAAAATATTCTATCTCAACACATACAGGGTAAGACAATTCAGCAATTACATAGGGAAATAGGGTGTGGCAAATACTGGATATGCTTAGTAATTGTTTCGAAAGTTGCATAGAAATTTTCACTGTCAGTAAGCACCTGGTAGGTCACACTCAGTTACTCTCTGAAAGATGAACCAAAGAGGATGTATGTGTGTGACTTGGAGGGTGAGTAGAAGGTTATAAACATGAGTTCAGAATAGCCCTGTGGATGATCCACACAGGACTAAGTGTTGTGTTTGCTGTGAAGATTTAATTCCAATGCATGTACCACTTTCCATTCAGGTGAGTTCTATTCCAGCTGGGAATCAGGATAACATTTGGTATGGCATGGTAGTATTATAGACCTACAGAGAGAGTGGCACAGAAGTATTTGGTAGCACTTTATAGACTAACGAAACATGTAGATGGTATCATGAACTTTCGTGGGCACAGCCCACTTCTTCAGATGACAGGAGTTAGAAGTGTGCTGTGCCAACGAAAGCTCATGATACCATCTACATGTTTCGTTAAACTATAAAGTGCTACCAGACCATTTGTTGTTTTTTCTGTAACAGACTAACTTGGCTACCCCCTGAAGCTACAGAAGTATTTGGTACTTCAAGATGCTACAGAGCCTTTGGAACTTACTACAGAAATGTTACACCAGCATCTGAGGATTAGGCAACTATTAACCCAGGGTTACTATTAACTATGAACCACCTAAGTAGCTGAATGAATTTCTCCCCTGCTCTCACATTACTCTAGGGAAGGAGTAAATTACCTCATTGCTATGCTGAACCTATGGGTTTAATTTTCAGCTTGGGCTGTTTGAAAGCATTCTGTAGGGACTGGAAAAAGACTGAGAGTCTACCATTCTTCTTAAATTCTGAAGATTCCAGGTGCCAGACTACATATTATGATAACACTATAAAGGCTAAATCAGTGGTTCTCAAACTTTTTGGCCCATGGCTCACCTGGCTCAATGCAAACCTTTCTGTGGACCACCAGTTGCTAATGGAAACTCGGCCTTAAATACATAATTACACTCGAGCCATTTTGCTTGTGCTGTAGTGAGGGAGAGCAGTTTAATTTAACCAGTAAGAAAGGAAATAAATTTAAATTATTAAACAGATTAAGCAATTTAACTAAACAGATGAAGCGATTTAACTTTCTCATGTTAGTTTATCAAACTTCATTTTAAATAAGGTAAATTTTTTCTGTCCAACATAAAAGGTTCCCATGTTTTCTTTATTTATGGTTGGAGTGGGGAAACTTTTTTGGGATGGGGCCACTGATCCACAGAAAAATCAGTTGGCGACTACACTGATGTGGCCCCCAACTTTGCAGCAGCCTCCCCTTTCCCTCCCTTCCCCCCAGCAAGCTTGCATTCCCTGCAGACACAGAGCAGCGCAGGGTGGCAGCAGCCTCTATCAGCAGCTGTTTTTTAAACTGGCTCCCCTCAGAACATCACCCGCCTGGCAGCCCACGTTGCTTCCTCTGATACAGAGGCAGCAGTATAGAGTGGTAGGGGCTCCCCAGGAGCGGAGCCAGATTACACTGGCTGCCAGCCCTGCTCACGGGAATTATAGAATAGTCCACTAACTGCTAAAAATTCATGCTGTTAGTCAATTATTCTATTACATGCTGTCTGACATCCCTACTTTCCAGGTAGATCACTGGGGACAATTGACAAAAACTTCCTGATTTTCTGATAGAATGATTGCTCACATTGGGTTTGTATTGTCCATATCATCTAACCTGGGCGATGAGAGGCATATAACTCCACCACTTCAGCAGCTGAATGAATTTCTTCCCTACTTCCATATTACTCTAGGGAAGGAGTAAATTGCCTCATCCCTTCTGTGTGAAGTACGGCTATGCTGAACTTAGAGGTTTAATTTCCAGCTTTGGTAGATGTAGATGAGCTAGTGTACTAAAAATAGCACCATAACCATAGCAGCAATGGTAGCAACTCAGACCAGGTGCCCAGATATGTACCTAAGATCTTGGGAGAGATTATACTCAGGTGGTTAGCCTGAGCAGAACTCCTGTACCATCACAGCTGCACTACTGTTTTTTGCATGCTGGCTTGATCAAAACTAGTGTGTGTACAACTATTCAGACTGGAAACTACACCTCCAGCTACCATGCAGACCTATGTTTACTCTCTCCTGTGCCATTCAGCCAACAAGAAGAGGGCAGAATCACGGTTCTTCATCTTCCCATCCCTATTTGCTTACAGTGGGTGAATGGCCACTGTTGTTCTCCCACCAAGAGTAATAATGTTAGGAAGGGCACTTTACTCCCCTATGTCCTAAATTACATCAACACATAACAGCTTTTAGGGGCCTCTCTATCAGAGAGGAATAGTTGGATTCTAACTGAGCCTTGGCCACACTCTCACTGCTGGAGCTACATAACCTGGGGACTCCACTATGAATAATGACCATATCCTTGGCAGTCCAGAGTATTAGATGGAGAGGCTGTACTGTGGGCACCGTCTGACCTGTAAACTTTGTTTTTACTACAGCTAATGAAGTATTTTAGGAAAAAAAATTGAGAGCAGCCACCAGCAGAGGTTGGAGGCTGCACGCTGAATTCCCTAAATAATTTGTCCTGGGAACCATCACTCAGGACTGTGATGAACTGTGTATCTTGGGTAATGTAGTTAGATAATACAGGCTAAGTAAACTGGATTAAAGTTCATTTGGAGATGTGGTGTGTAGAGATGAAAAATGGTAAACGTTTTCTGCAAGAGTGTAAGGGAGTTATATGTTGTAAGGATTGGGGCTGTGTTTGGAGATGGAGTAGGTGGACTACAAATTGTGCCTGTTGGTACAAAGTGCTTGTGAGAGTATAGCTGGTTAGAGGCTATGCCTAAGGATTTAAGATGTATGGTGGAGTGGGGAAAGGCTAGAATATACCTGGTATAAGATTATGTGCAGCAGAAACATTGGTGGGAATTGCAAATAAATCATAGGGTACACAGTGAGTTCTCTATAGGTTTGTTACAGGGTCCATGGTTGGGAATGTGTGTAGTGTGTGTGTCTGGGTTACAGGACACATAGATTAGGTGCATGGGATTTTCGGTACTGCGGTAAGGGTTGTAGATGCATTACAGGATATGGGGGGACAACGTGCATTTGGGCTGTCAATGGGTTAAAAGGGATGTGTCTACACAAGTTTTAGTTGGGTTGCAAGAAGAGTGGGAGATAAAGACTAGGTGTGAAATAGATAGCTATATCGGGTATGGCAGAGATGTAAATAGGACACACAGGCTACGTCTAGACTGGCATGATTTTCCGCAAATGCTTTTAACGGAAAAGTTTTCTGTTAAACGCATTTGCGGAAAAAAGCGTCTAGATTGGCATGGACACTTTTCCGCAACAGCACTTTTTGCGGAAAGGCGTCTGTGCCAATAAAGACACACTTTTGCGCAAAAAAGCCCCGACTGCCATTTTTGCGATTGGGGCTTTTTAGTGCAAAACAAATCTGAGCTGTCTATACTGGCCTTTTGCGCAAAAGGACTTTTGCCCGAACGGGAGCAGCATAGCATTTCCACAAGAAGTACTGATTTCTTACATGAGATCGTCAGAGTTCTTGCGGAAATTCAAGCGGCCAGTGTAGACAGCTGGCAAGTTTTTCCGCAAAAGCAAACTTGCCAGTCTAGACATAGCCAAAATGTGTGTTGGAGTAGGCGGCGTGCAGGACAAAGACAGGGCAGAGGGTGCAGGATGGGGTGAGGTGAATTAAAAGAGCAGGTGTAAGGTACTGGTGGGGGGCAGTAGCAGGATTGTGAAGGTTCAGGGAGGTGAAGATTGGGAACGCAGGTGGGAGTGGAGTAAGGGATGTGTCTAGTGGTTGCAGGAAGGCAGGGGCTGTATGTGTGGTAGTGGGCAGGGGAGTTCCAGGCCTGACAAGGTATGTGGCGCGTAGGCTGGTGAGCGTGGACTGCGGGATGGGTGAGGACGGGCTGAAAGGTCAGAGCAGGGCGGCAAGGGTGCATGTGCCGCAAGGGACAAGGGCTGCGGAGTACGCTCCGGGCAGGCACGTGCTGCACAGCGGATACAAGGGCTGGGGGCGCCAGGTGCGGGCCGAGGGGAGTCGTGCAGGGCGGGGGCGGGCACTACTAGCTGCGTGCAGGGAGCCCGCCGCCCGCACGTTCCCCCTACAAGATGGCGTCTCCAGGCCGCCGTTTACATAGCGCTGGGGGAATCGGCGCGAGGCGGGACTTCCTGCCTGCCGCGCTCCACAACTGCTTCCTCGGGCGCGAGGGCTGGTGATTGGGGGCCCCTGAGCGAGCCGTCTCTCACCGCCCCACATCCGGGACTTTCATTCCCGCCCCCCCTTTTCCCGCTCCCCGCACACACACACACAGCCGGAAATGACGGCAGAGCCGGCCCGCCGCTTTACTGATCCACGCGGGAGCCAGGTGTGGCCACGCCCCCTAGTTCCGCAAAGGGGGAGGGGGGGGGGCGAGAAAGGCATCGGCCCTTGGTAGCTGCGCCTGTTGAGCGAAGTAACCGTGTCCGCTCGCGGCCCTCGCACTGTACTCATCATCAACACTCGCCTGGGCGGGAAGGGAGGGAGCGCCGCTCGCGCGCGCGCCCTAGAAGGAGGAGCGCTCAGTCCGACCCCTCCCCGCGTTCCGCGAGAGGCAGGGGGGCTCCCCTCCTGCCTGCGCGCGATCCAAGCCACCTCCCGCCGGCGCCTGGACGGGAGGTGTCAATCATGTGGTCGGCCCCGCCTCTTCCGGGCCTCTCAGGCTGGGCCGCCGCCTCCTCCTCCTCTCGCTCGCTCTCTCTCTCCCTTTTGTGAGTTATAGCAACCGTTGCCTTGTGAATCAAGCGCCATAGTCACCGTAGTCCTGGCGACTGTTACCCATCAACAACAACCGCTCCTCTCCTCCTCCTCCTCCTGCTGCTGCTCCTCCTCACCCCCATCCTCACCCCCTTCCTCATCATCACCCACAACAACAACAACAGCCACCAGCAAGAGCAACAACAACAGCAACACCACAGCCCTGCACAGCCCAGGTGACTATGATTGTTCCGTGCACTCCGGCCCCCCGGCCCCGGGCTGGGCTGCCCCATTGATTGAGATGGAGCCAGAGGGTGAGGCTGTAACGCGTGTCTCCCTGCTGGCTGGTTGTCCCACCACCCCTTGGTTGTACTTTGATGGTGGATGGGGAATGTGGTGTTGGTTCAGGGCTGGGAGGGAGAAAAGGAGCGCGGGGGGCAGGGAGTCACGCTTCTGGTCTGTGGGACGATTGTAGAGGGGGTGGGCAGGTATCTCGTTGGCCTCTGTGTACAATAGAGGGGAATTGTTAGAAGGGAATCGAGGAGATGGTGATGAGCCCTGTCTGATGGTACCTACTTTAGCGAACACCCAGGCATGGATTCTGCAACACACCAACAGCCAGGGAGTGCTTCTCCTCCTCACTCCTAGGGGCCTTGTTCTGGGGTTGTGATACTTCAGATTTAGATGCTTGTGAACTTTTTGTCTCTTCTGGTGATACTCGCACTTCCCTAGCCCTCTTCTGAGCAGCCCTGGTTCTGTAGTCAGATTATTTCCTCCTTTAATAATAATTCATTTAATCGTATTTCTGTGAAAACTATTTTTTTTGTACAGTACATTGATTTTTTTATTCATCTAATAGTTCTCCCAACTACCAACACAGACAACCGTTTTGTTTTGCTCTCCAGCAGCTGGGAAAGATTATTTTTGATGCTGTTTGTGTACTTGTGATTTAATCTGAATACAGTGCATGTGTGCTAGTTGGGTTTGTAGTTTATTCACAGTGTGTTTTTTCTCCTGTAGAGATGTTTGGGGTAGAGGATCCATTTCAGTTTCCTTTTACTTCCCACAGTGAAGGAAAAACTAGTTATTTTTGTTTTGCACGAGAGACTCTTGTGTACATCAAATAGATGAAAGAAAGAAAGAAGAAAACACTAAGAAAACTTCCTTTGCAATTATATTTCTCAAAGCTGAGAGTTTTTCTTGATGTCTTTTCCTGCAAAGAGATGAAATTGAAGTCAAGTTGTTCATAAAGAATGTATGAATCCTCTGAACTTAAAATGCATGTATATTTCATCATCTTTTTGGGTGTTAAAATTTAGGAATTTGCCTTCTCTGAATATACTATCACACATATTCACTTTTTTTTTTCTGGACATAAGATATATTTTTGATATCTCCTCATGGGATATCATGAGGATTTTTTTTAACATTTTTATATCTGATTCTCTCCTCCCGCCACCCTATTCCCAGCATGTCAAATCAAGACTCAGTTAATAAAATGGTCTCTGGAATTTACTGTTATTAAAAAGACAGATGATTTAAAGAGGATTATTCCCTCATTTCTGTATTTAATGTAATTCATAGGAAAATGGTAATGTTGTTTTATGGTAAGATACTTTTGTTTATTTTAATTTTGAAGATACTTTTTTCCATCTTAACATTTAAACCCTCCATTGACTACAGTCTTGTTCCTCGTAACAATGCCAACAGAAAGATATTGATTTATTTGACAGAGCAACTGCTGAAGAATGTGACAGTGTCAATTATTTTGGCGATTGTCAAGTGCAGAGGAGGTTAGATAATTAATGCATTGCTGATATTATATTATTTTTTTAACTAAAGCTCAGTAAGTGTCTTGCAGTTTTACTTTCTAAGTATGTTTTCATATGCCATCAGTATAACTAAAATGATATACTTCAATGAGCCACCAATAGTCCCAAAATGCTCATTGTCGTATACTTTATATTGAAAAGGAAGAATAACTTATTTTCCTTTCTCCTACTATAGGAACTGTAATCAGATGAGTTCCAAACAAATGAAAAATTACTGACATCAAAGAAGTCAGCTCATCACTATGTTTTCAGTATATTATAGTACAGAAGTTGCATATAATCTTAGTGAATTAATTTCTAGAAGGTAACCATTATTAGTTTTTGTCAGGGAATTTACTTTGTGATTTATTATTTGTGAATTCATTCCACACATCTAACAATGCCTGCAAGGTAATGCCCCACTTCTGCATGCGGCATTACATGGGTTGGATTCCCATTACCAGCACAGAACCCCACTGATGATGGAGTTCTGTATGGATCTAGAGATCTTCATGGGTAGAATCAGCTTTCAAGATCAAAGCCTAAATTAGCAAAGAAAAGTGACTTTCTTTGACTGTGAAAGCAGAAATCTTTATTTTTTGATGGCGAAAAGGGTACAGTAATTTTTTAAAAGGCTGTATTTTAAAAAGATGTGTTGTACGACAAAAAGTTTTTAGCATTACTCAAGAGACAGTTACTTAAAGGAGCTGTTGCATGAGGTAATTGAAAATAATGCCATGTCACGTCATCTAGCATCATAGGCTTTTACGAAGAAAAGCAGCATTAACAATTTGTTCCCACTTTAACATTTTAATGTTTCATAGATGGGATCTTCAGTATGCATTTTGATTCCCAAGTGCTCTCAGCTATCAGAATACCAGATGTTTGTGATGTCAGCCAGTCTTTTGATAATAAAATGGTTTGTGATTTTTTGTTCACGTGTTTGTGGTTTAGGTAGCTGCACAAGTGTGATTAAAATGCATTTTAAGTCACTTGGACATGGCTTCATTGAGCCTTTGTGAGTTCTGTGCCCTGGTGTGTTTCATAGTTAGCTAACTTGCATTGTGATGAAATAGGCAGACTCTTTTTTTGATGATGTATTCAAAAGAAACAAGATAGGAATCCATGACCTGCCATTTTTATTTAGTTTAAAATCCTTGTTTTCTTCATCTCCTGGGGTAGCTGGGCCTTGTGTTACTACTGTATATTTTCTTCTCTTCTTAAACATAGCAGTTTGTTAGTTATAACGATACACTTCTCAGAAATAAAAATGTTACTAGTTATTTTAACTTAATAACTTTGACTGTGAAAGGGAAAGATGACACATTTTTTCTTTGTCCTTACCTGGAACAGAACCAGGTATGCTTAATATAGTTAAAGAATCAAGAATATTGTACCTTTTTATTATAGTGATTGCTTTGTGGTCTAGTTGGTATTACAGATTTTCAGGTTTTTACCCCTACTCTTCTGTCATTACATTATTTCCTTTAAAATTGAAAGGTGCTTTTTCATGCAAACTACAAAGTAGGCTTAACAACAGTAGACATTGACATGTGTAAGAGTAACGAGGGAACAGGCATTTTCAACACATAGAATGTATTCTGTTTGGATTTTTTTTTTAAGTTTGTTTTGAATTGAGATTACAGGTTGTGAATACAACACAAATATACACAGAATAAAAGCAAGCTTTCAAAGTTATAGAGCTAGAGAACAAGTTTTAAACCAAGTTTCATGCCAGATAAATATAGATTCTAATTAGAATATTAAGTGTGTTTTTAAATAATGAATTAAACTATTATTTTTTCAGGCTTTTCTGAATACATACACTTTCAAAAACCTGCATGTTTAAAAGGGCATATTATTTCCACCAGTGTAAGAGTGGCATTATTATATATCTTTAATAATGGTGTTGTGAACAGTGTCTGTAGTTTTTCTATGCTTGCAAGTTCAATGTACACACATATTTTGGAAATTTAAGATTAAGTGCATAGATTGATTTGGCTAAATTTAGCTTATTAGGGACAGATGGCTGCTTTAAACAGGTGTCACTTTCATTTCTAGTGCATTGTGTTGGGACTTCCAGTGGCTCACAAAAGGCCTGTCTAAAGCAGGTGGCATCCTCTGCTTTTGTCATTAGCAAAATCTACTCTTATAGGTAATTATTTTCCCAGTGACTGGGTACATTATAATATGTAGTATAGTTTATCATAGTCTTTATTGGCTGCCCATCACACATTCATATAGTACATTTTTGGATAATCCTCTTATTAGACTTTTAAAAGGGGGCGGGGAGGGAGAGGGAAACATGCATTGAACAATATAAGTTAGCAGTTTTAAAATACAAGTAGGTTGAATAATTTTAATACATGGCTTTGAAAACAAGTAGAAAATTGCAGTTTGATATAAAAATGGTTTTGTTATATAACTGCCCTATGGCTTTATAAAATCTAACTTGTTATGACTCAATTTTTATACCAATGAACTGTAAGTAGGAACATTAAATACATTTTAATCTGTCTTTTGTTTACAGCGTCTCTTATGCCGAAAAAAATATTTTTTCTTTTTTTTTGTTTAATATTAACTGTTATAAAAGTCTGCTTAATTTTGAATATTTTGGAAAAAGAAATAATTAGGATATTAGAACTAGAGCTTCTTAGTTTTTTTCACTCTTGACAGTGTTGAGAACAATGACTAGTGCCCATTCTTAATCTGTTACATTTCCTCTAGTAGATGCACCAGAGGGTGCTATGCTATTTCAAACACAATAAGAAAAAATTGTCAAAAGCACTTATTTATTCAAATACATAGATTAACTATAAAATTTATATTTTTCAATTCTTACGGTAACATCAAGAATTTTCTTTTTTATTCTGTGTCTCCCTATAGCAAGATGTTTTCCCTTAATACTTTTATAGGGAAGATTTTAGAATAATAGATTGTTCCATAATAAATATGTATTTACACAGTATGGAGTCACAATCTACTTAAAATTCAAAGCATGAGAATATATATATGAGCTATGCTTGTATAGTAGATGTAGTTTCCACTTTTATATATTTGCTTTATATGTTTACATTGTCTACTTTTATTTAGGCATATCAGTGCTAATATCAATAGCTGAATTAATAATTTGTCTTAAGAAATTACTACATTTTTAGAGTGCTTTGATGCACTGCCATTTCAGTTTTAACCTATTACTCATTTAACTATTATTCATATTTTGTTTGGTTGTTAATTATTTTCCAACAGAATTTTGTTTTGGAATATATTACCTTGCATTTTTGTTGTTCGGTTGTTTTATTCCTTGCTATAAGTCTTAGAGAATAAACTGGGGTCAAAGCAGATAAACCTAATTATTCTCTCAGAAGTAGCAAAGAGAGTACAACAGTCTAGTGGACGGGAAGACTTGTATGTTCCTCCCCATC